ATCCGGTTTAAAAACATGATTCGAGCCCTGCGGTACACAGCAAGTGCACACCATGTCACTAAAAACAAACATGCAGCGAGCGTGGAAATGATGGGGCGTACGCTAGACGAAGACCAATGATAGCGCAGTCGTTATTTGCCATACAGCGATTGTTTGTGATGATTACGATGATGATAATGAAACTGTGGTCCCTATAATCTTCTTGCACCTGACGTCACTTCCGATCAGACTCGAAATCGAAACGAACATTGTAGTCTGCTTTCACTGCATTCGCGCGGTGTTGGAGGCATTCGGCGTCTTATTGCAACAGCAGTAGTGCCTTTGAATATACAGCCGCTTTCTGCACCCACATTTTAGAATATTTTCTGGTCCTAGTCAATCGCAAAGGGGTTCTTCACCTGACACGAAGTGGAGTCCACGAACCTTAGTTGGGGTACGAGGCTTTTCTGCCGAGATTATATAGTTAATATAATAACCTAGAGCGAAAGGTTCAATGCATCTGGCCGCTTCGGCACGCCGGGCATAGAAGCGGATATCGGCGGTCCCCATCAGCCCATATCGCTGACAGGAGAACTCCGCCGATTTTTCGAGCTACGCAATCCAAAGGCAACATCTGAATGCGGATGGCTTCCTCATTCCGAAATGCTATCCGTTCCTCCGGATTCACTCTAGGTAATTAAAAAAGTTACATTTTGTTCGCTGCCGAAACCAATACATCGTCTTCCCCAGTTTTTCCCGTTTTCCCCACCATCCAAACGTGACGTCACCAGCGGGCAACGAGACCCGCTGCCGGCAATCGGATACGCTCGCGCCCGCCTTTCTCAGTGCTTCGAACAGCGAGAAAACAGGAGCGTTCGTGCTATTTGAAGTTGCTGATAATATTTATTTGTACTAAGTACGACCTTGGCCTACGTGCTAAACTATGAGAAAGAGAAAAAAAAAATCGGAAGCAATTGGAAGTTTTGTAAAACCGTTTTTAAAACTCGGTACGCTCAAGCCGCGGCTCGCTAGTTTGTGAAATCGCTAGCAGATCCGTTCTCATTTTATCAGAACCTGGCTGGCGAAGAAAGGTCAACAGTCACGCAGTACATTTTTTAACAAATTACCAAAGCACCACGGAGAATGCTCGGAATAAGGGTACAGCTAGGTGCCCCACACGCTCGTGTTACCTGAAGGAACGTGCCATTTGTTTTAGATTTTCTTTGGAAAAGTTACTGCTGCAGACGCCAGCAGGTGTAACTACTCTTGTAGCATGCATATTCTCCTTGGTGCTTAAGTAAGTTAGCAAAAGATCTATAGACAATTTCAGAAAAGCGCTTTTGGTCGGTGCCATTTTTAGCGTTCGTGCGTGTGGCGCGCACTATGCTCGCCTTCCAAAGCGGCCAACATGCGCGTGCTGAGTTGCGACCTAACACATGTAGACTGTAATTCTCATTCGCGTAGGCCTGATGGCAGGTTACTGTTCACGAAGATTATGTTCAAAGGACAATTAAAGGAACTCCGCAGCCACCAAGCGAAACATCAAGGTACCATGGAATGCCTCTAAAATACACAAATACACTACTCATCTTCAAATATATAATATCTGCCTGAAGGTACAACAGTGCGTAAGTATAGAAATGCATAATAAAACTTTTAATTCAAAATAAGTTAACAAAATGTACTCAAACAAAAATAACTACCCGTATTTATCCCTCTTTTTTTTTCTTTTGGAGTTTGCAACGCGTTTAAACACTTATTTACGAGTGCAGATAGGAGAGGAGTAAATTTGTGTGTAAATTCGCATGCCTTCCCTCAAGAACATCAATATTTTCGTGGCTTAAAAAACATTTTAGCGTTATATAACATTTCGCCGTAATCGAATAAAATAAAGGCGTTTTCACCCGCTCTTTTGCGAGAGAATATTGCACGCCAACCCAATGACAAACCAGGCAACGGCTCTATCGCACATTAATGGAGCTCTACACCCGCTCCATAAAACCTGTGTAATACCAGACAGGAAAAGCAATGCGTCGAAAGCCATGTCTAAATGTTTCATTGCTCGTCTTCAACAGATCGGCCGCGTGAGTGGAACTCCGAGAGTAGCCCGAGCTAGATTCAATGTCCAAAACAAATATAATGTTAAAAAAAATCACTCAAGCAATTGTGAACAACAAATGTGACTCTGCCAAATGTCGACTATTGTGTACTATTTTTCTCGATATTATTAGCGCTCCTCTTTCGACGAATGTCTTATGGCGAATTCCACTGGGCGTTTTGGAGCGCGCCGGGATCAGTTGACCAGATCCGGACCGGAGCCCACGATCCGAACGGGGTCGCGGCGCCTACGGATCCCCAGTGGAACATGACCACTGCTCCGGGATCGGCGGATGCCTTCCCGTCATTCAACTGCCCGGGAATCCCCTTTCCGCGGCCGCCGCGGTCGTTTCGAAGATGTTTTCGCAATCGCGGCGCTAATTAAGACGTGTTCGACGCACGAGCGGCAGGAATATCTCAGGCGCTTCCAGCAAAGATTGCCGGAATGCCCGTAGCGCGGCAAATACCTTCTCTTCTCCTTCCTGGAAAACGAACCGGCTGTCGAGCCAAGGGGTAAGCAAGCGGCCATTACGAATTCTTCTGATCTCGAGACAATCTAGGACCCCAGCCCGCGACGTGTTTCTTCTTCTGAGGCAAGATGGGCGAGATCAGGCGAGATGCCACACGAGAAAGGAAGTCACATGTGTGCGCCGAGGCTGGCCCGGCTGGCTTCCGGTTGAATCCGCCGAAATCGTGGGAGCAACTTTTCTCGGATCCAGATCGAGATCTGGAGCGGGAGCTAATCCAAAACAACCGGTGAAACACGTCGGTCTCGATCCCGATCGCCCAGTGAAACAGGCTCGCTCCAGAAAAGTCAATCCCGGTGCGTTCCAAAACGACCAGTGGAATTCGCCATTAGTGGTCACAGCCGGCTTGAGTTCGTGCTTGCCGCTCTTGAAGCTGGTCCAGCTGCAGAAGGACACTCAACTAGCAGCGCGCGGCTATTAGTGAGATGTTTTGGTGGCGCCCTCCTATGGTTCCCTCTCGTGACATCATTACTTGGCGAGCAACAAGTTCGATGGTGTTTGTAATTAACATGGTGGAAGCTTTAAATCATTGCGCTTTCCAAGCAAGACTGCCAACACCGTCAAAATGCAAGCTCTTACATTCCTCCTATTTCCATCGATGCGAAATCCTTTGCTGACGTCATAGTCAGCATTTGGCCAATCGTGGAATAGGCCGACCACAGCGACGCTTTCGATCGCTCACGTCGCTAATAAAATATTCTAAGCATAACTGAGAATGTTTCACGTGACGCCAGTTCCCTCGGCACACAGCTTCCGCAAAAGCACCTTGGCGTGGCTGGCCTCCATTGCTGCCAAAAGCGCTTTTTTTTTTCTCCCACGAAAACAAGGGAAAAAAGAAGCTTTTTCCCAGCACTGTTCCTACAATCTACCACGGAGCACAGATTGCCACCCATTGCAAAGACCTTTAACCTTGAAGCTGTGAAAAAAATAATCTTGATCGCTGGCGCCCGGAAAGGCACTTCGCGGCTGCCCGAGGCGCTCGTCCGCCAACCCGCCGGTGACGTAAGCGGGTATAGAAAAGTAGGGTTTTTCATTTGCCGCGTTTACATGAATGCGACTTAGTCGCATCGAATCCAGTTGTATCATTCAATGCGGTCATGTAAACGGCATAATGCGCAAAGAAAGCACATCGCATTCAAGTCGCTAGACGGAGGTGGGTCGAGATGGCGAGTGCGCATTCATTCAGCCCATGTAAACGGAGATCGCATCGCATTTTGGAACGGGGAGGATTATGGGAAGGCGCTCGCTGCGGGAGCGAGTGAACAGCTGAGAACATGGCGGCGGCCAACCTCGTCGTCGGAGCGGAGAGCGGTCCCGTATGGGCGCCCGCAATTTTTTTCCCGAGAGAAAACGCGAGCTTTTATTGCCATCATAAGTAAGCGGAATATAGCTGAGCTGCTCGGTGAGGGCGGTCCCCGTCCAAGCCTTACGAAGTACGACTTGCGCGTCCAAAATAGTCCCAAAAGCTTCGGCGCAAGCACGAACGACACCGAGAGCTCCAAGCACTGTAGAGCACTGCATGGTAGCGCAGAACGAGCAGCTCCTACCTCGGTGCCGTTCCTGGCTGCGCAGGAGCCTTTCGGACTCGGGGTCCGGTTGGTCCGGTCGCGATCGGCGAGGTCTGACGCGGCGAAGCGCGGAGGCGTCCTCAAAGCGTGCGCACACACGTCGCCTCTGGTCCAGAGTGACCCGGCGGCCCGGCCTGGAGCCCTAAACGCTTGGGTTTTGATGTTTCTTCCGTCTCGTAACTTCTCTCACAGCACCGAAGACAGCAGGCATGATTGTTACGGTCACTGAACGCGTCGAAAGGGGAAAAACCTCTACGTGCAATGCACCTGAAAACGTGGTGCGGCTGGTGCCGGAACTGCATAACTTCGAGCTTTGACACGGCGTGGCGCCATCTTCGTGTAGGGCTTGGTGCGCATTCATGTAAACGTTGCCGCGCAGAAGGCGATTTTTGCAAAGGTCTATAGACGTTTTCTGTTTCCTGTAATTCTCAGTCACCTGGGCTCGGTACCTGGTATGCGGGACGAAAAAAAAAATAAAACATTTTAACTTGGAATATGCGAGAAAATATGGGTGAGGCAAAACAAGAATCTGTGACAATCGCGCATTTTTCGTAAACACCTTACGGAGGCGTGGAGAGATCAAAACGATGTTTTACCGCATTCTAGAAGCGACGACATTCAAGATGGCTGCACTCTTGTGGAAAAGATTGTAAATAATAAGAAAACGCCAACCAATCCCTAAAAGAAGCTAGGGTGCCAACGTTTCGGTGCCGGGTCACACCTTCTTCAGGGGGTATATTTAAAAGAGAAGCAGCTTCTTCCTTTTCTTCTGCAGTGAATGTAGAGCAGTACCTTCGTTTGGCTACGGAGGTTAGTTTTCAAAACAGGTCTAAACAACTCTAAAGAAAACCTTCGTTTTCTTTAGAGTTGGTTATTTACAATGAGGACCAGCATTTTCGTTTTCCTCTATGGTAGGGACCTGTTTCTTTGGTGTTCCTTCTAAGTGTCGTAGTCCACTGACGTATGCCGAGGGCAAGGTGCGTTAGGATCGGTTAATATTTCCTGGTGTGGTCTCTATGCGCCACGACTCAATAAAGAGCCATTGGCGCCACTTAGTTTCTACATCCAGGATTCGGGTATTTTCAAAGTCGATGCGGTGGTCATTGTTGTCGCAGTGTTCCGCAACAGCGCTACGCCTTCGGTCGAATTTGCGTACATCATTCTTACGTTGGCGGACTCTATCCTTGCAGTTTTTCGTTTCGCTGACGTATGAAGTGGAACACTCAGCACAGGGAATTCGGTACACAACGCCTTGTGTTTTTTCTCTTGGTGGACGGCCTTTCGGACGAGGTATTAGGCGTCCAAGTGTCGATACAGGTTTGTGGGCCACCTGAAAATGTATATAGCGAAGGTGTATAGAAAGGGTTTGTGGAAACGATGTATATAGTTCGATCTCCTCGCCAATAGACCTTTCGAGTGCTTTTCACCAAAGCGACGAAAAATGCTGAGTCACTGGGCAGCGGACGCGTGCACGGTGTCTCACATTTCATGAAAAAGAGCTACTGCGCACGCGCAGGCAGAACGCCTTCTATAGCCCAGCAGACAAAGGTGGCAGTGCGCAGAAGGCGATTATTGGAAAGGTCAACAGTTGTGAAAGGTAGAGAATGCAGAAGTTCTGCCTTCAGCACTCGATCGTTGCCTTCCACCAATAAAAAAGCATCTATCAATTTTAGTATATTAAATGTTTTATTCACACAAACCAGTCATAAATGTGCAGATAATCGGAATAAAACAGAAAAGAACTCAATTGGTCATTTTAATTTAAAAAGAAAAAATGAAAGCCGTTTACAACTCCCTGTAACGCCGAATTAGAGCGCAGCTCTAATTCGGTGGGTCAAGTGACCTCGGGTGGCGGGGGGTCACGCGACCTTGTGGGAGTCACTTGACCTTGGGGTTTCACGTGACGTCGAGGGGGGGGGGGCTCACGTAACGATGCCGATGACGTCATCAGTGACGATGTCGATGTTATACCGATGACGTCACTGATGACGTCATCAGTGATGATGACGATGACGATGCGGATACCGGTGACGTCACTCATGATGTCATCAGTGATGATGGCGATGACGATGCGGATGCCGGTGACGTCATTAGTGACGTCACTGATGACGTCATCAGTGGCGATGACGTCAACGGTGGGTCACGTGACCTCGGAGGGGTATTCCCAGGTCACGTGACCCCGGGGGGGGGGGGGGGGGGGGGTCACGTGACCTGGGTAACCATCGTGACTCTCGTGAGGGTAACCCTAGTAACCCTTGTGAGGGCAACTCTCGTGCCCCTCGTGAGGGTAACTCTCGTGACCCTCGTGAGGGTAACTCTCATAACCCTCGTGAGGGTAACTCTCATAACCCTCGTGACCCTCGTGAGGGTAACCCTTTTGAGGGTAACTAACCCTCGTAACCCGTTACGACGATTAGTGACCCTCGTAGCCCTCGTGAGGGTTACGAGGGTTAGTTATTCTCGTAACCCTCGTAACCCTCACGAGGGTTACGAGGGTTTTTCGCGGTTACGCCGACGGCGACGGCGACGCCGACGGCGACGGCGACGCCGACGGCGACGCCGCTCAAGCCGGGAATGGGCGCCTAAGAGCTGCGCTCTAAAAAAAATAAGCTTTTTGTTGATATAGGTAACCATCTGCATGCGCAGCGTTTCTGTTCCGATAGTAGACCTGTCCAGTTTCTAGACATATCTTAACTGAAAGAATGTTTTCGTAACATCAAAGCTTCCGTTTTCAACGCACCAGCAACGTCAGCGAGCCATTTTGGTAGTCTGGGGTAACGCTTTCTAACAAAAAATTGCCTTCACAAATTCAAATTCTTTTTTTTTTTTTTTTTTATAAAGTTTTATTTGAAAAGTTGTTGCATCGCCTCTGTCATGCGCACATTGGACTAGTTTCGTTAATAAACTCCACATTTCTACAATGCCCAAAAAAAAAACTGAAGTTCGTCGAATTTTGTTTTGAATTCGGTTAATAAACGTGTTTGACCCGATTTATAAAAAAAAATATATATATTAAGAAAAAGCATATCGGGGGTGTAAATATATGGAAATATCTAGTTTTACCCGAAAAAAAGAAGGACCCTAGACATATCTCATGGTATGCTGGGGGTTCAAACAAGGTAAGACTCACCAACAAAACTGCGAAGGCATGACGACGGTAAAAGGCATGCCCAACTAAAGTCATTCAACCGTAGCACCAACGGGAAAAAAAGAAACAAACAAAAACAAAACAAAACGCACTGCGGCAACAAAAAAAAAAAAACATTTGGATTTTTATGAAGATTCAAATGAGTCGGACGAAATGAGAATGGGACGAACTACGCAAGGTCCAAATGCGAATGGCAGAACCGTTTATGTAGAGAGTTTGGCCATTCGTTGGGAAGTATAGGAGACAAATGAGGAGGCGCCATTGGCCGAAATCGGGCTGGGCGTGTTCCAGGGCGTCCTCACAAATTTGAATGTGACCAACCAGAAGCCGAAAAGAATACACTGGCGGTAGTCGCGAGAAACAAACCTGATAAGTGCATAGGAGTAACTCTCGCCGACTGAAAATATGGTACACGTGATGTTTCAATCACGCTCATCCAAAATGATGGTGGAAGAGTGCGAAGAGTGGAAGAGTGCGACATCGACATAATTCTTACGCCAAGCGCCGAGGGCCGGGAATCTGCCTTCCGAGCGGTCACACTCTGCCCGAGCAAACCGAGTTGAGCGGCGCATTCGTTTTTTACATCTTTCTGCATGATCATGATCGAAACACCACTTGCACCCTATTTTCAACCACGAAGAGTTACTGCACTTCAATCTTACGCGCTTGTTAAAACCATATACGAACATATACCTTTGATCACTACTGTTTTTCGCTACCACCGCTAGGGGAATCTTTTCAGCTTCTGGTTGGTCAAGAGAGCATGCCAAGCCCACTTTCGGAGTCTAGTGCACTCGGTGGCCCTGCCCGCGCCTCACATTGACCAAACTCTCTCTATACACGGCTCTGGCGAATGGTACGTTTAGGAATGGGCCTCGTTGCGAACAAAACTGGTTCGGATCTTATATGAGAAGGTTCAAACGAGGACCAAATGAGAATGGGGCGAAATTCGCAAGGTTCAAATGTGAATCGGGGGTTTTGAGATACACCCTCAAGACGCGCTTTCAATGACGCTGACGCAAGGCGGCTCTGCGTGGGTCCACTACTGATGGCGTTTAGGGAGGAAAGACGCAGTCAATCGGTCTTTTAGACTGTGGTATTGATACAATCCTCACCCCTTTCCCGTTTTAGATCTCCGGATGAGCATCATATACAATAGTTTGCGGTCGTGTGATCACTACCACGTGATGCACTGAAAGAACCCCGGTTAGAATTCGTAATGCACTGGCTAAATTTCTCATCTACAGTAGGAAACAATGTCGCTATACTCTGAGAGACTAAACTCTTGCTGTTTAAACATCTAACTGTTCATTTGTTGTGTTTTCTTCTGTTTTCATGCCGTACGAGGACGCTCCTTATTGGTACCCGTAAACGTCCTGAGCCTGTCTAATATTGCCACTAATGACAATTGATGAGGCGACAAATACTAAAGCAAACTAAACGTTAAATGGCGTAAACTTGTCTTAAAAAAATTTAAAAAAAAAAGGCTAGCGTCGCAGGCGTCGATGGCGGCGAAACAGCAGGATCAAACGCTGAAGCGAAACTGACTCCGTCTGGCAACGCGGAGCCGCTAAAAGGTTCGGCGCGTAGAACATTCGAACCTCGAATAGGCAACGGAATTTTCGAATATAGCTGAACGCGATATTTACAGAAATAACAAAAAGGTGCCTCCGCTCCCAGGCATCGAATCTGGGCCCTTTGCGTGGGAAGTTGAACCAAGAACGGTAACCATTCGGCCAAGTAGGCGTGCGCGCGGCATTAGTCAATAAAATCTCATTTCAAGACGAATGTTGATGATTGGTCGAATTATATTTCTTATTGCGAGTTTTAGAGGACTTTCTTCGCTCATTGTCTATGAATAAAGCAAATAAACTGCTTAAAAACTGGTGCCAAGGAAATGATTTTTTGTCTTTTGTACGTGATCCTTCATTGCTTTGTGTTGAAATATTCTGCGTTACTCATCCTGCATTCAACAATCAAATGCTTTTGTTGGATATGTTTTCTTTTATCCACTCTGGCCAAAATAGACGGTTACTGTTAAAAGAGTAATTAATGAATATGTTATGGTGTTTCGTAGGCTTGCCTGGCCCCACAGGCAAACAGCCTGCTTTTGCGAACCGGAACGTCTTTTGTATCAATTTTCACGCAGAAAACCACCATTATTACTACTGTTTCATTATCACTACCATTAATATTTTATTCTTTAACTTTTGTGTATGAATATTGGTAGCACAGCATAGTGAGTGTTTGGTTCCTATCCACTAGTTTACGTTCTGAACAACCCCCCCCCCCCCCTTTCCCCCCTTTATGCAATGTCCTGCTGGGCCATTAGGAATGAGATAAATAAATCATTATGATTATTACTAGGATATAAAAAAAAATTCATTTTGACAGCTCTGACATATCCCGAAATTCCTCCATCCGACGTCATCCCTTTACCTAATTGCAGGCTTTAAGCACGTGGTGTTGTGTCCGCGTGTTTCCACGACATAGGATAAAAATATGATGCATTCACATTTCGCAACTCCGTCCTTGCCCCTCGCGTTGCTCGAGCCCTCATAAAGGTAGAAATCACAAAAAGAGCACAAGCTCAAATATCGTCGCAAGGCCCCTCGATTTGACGAGCAGAGCACAACCCTGCAAAGAGATACGTTGCACGGGAGCATACATGTTGCGATCGCGCTAGCCCATCGCGTCGAGAAGGTCGTTTCTAAATTTTCGTGGTTAGGCCGGTGTCTTCCACCAAAAAACGCTACACAGAAAAGTGGAAACAACGTACAGTAAGTGGAATCCTGGAACAAGCGGCAGGAGCAAAAAGTGCATTACCCCAAACATCCATTAAAAAAAGCTTTGAAGTCGCACTGCCTTCTAAAATCAGCGGTCGATCGGCCTCTGCCGTTTCTCGGAAGCGAAGCTGTTCATTGTAAAACCAACTAAAAATAATCTCCTCTAAAAAAAGAAAAAGAAAAAAGGAGGGGGGGGGGGGGAAGCGTGTGCTGTATTTTTGCGACGATCATAAAAACAGTATGGGGCCAAGTCTCGTTTTCAAGAGTAAAAGCAAACAAGTACCTTCTGCATGCAAAACGCTGCCTAAAAAAAAAAAAAAAAAAAAAAAATGAAAATCCCTTTATCGGTCCGTTTTCGAGAAAAGAAACGAGTTAGTGGCTGCAACATTCGCCGAGAAGGCGAGCGCTTGTGAGGGCAGTCCTCGAATCAAACCGACAACTGAGCAAAGCGAAGTCTTAACAGTGTCCCGAGGGAAAGTTCGGAAATTTCGGAGGCGGTCTTGCACCAGACGCCCGCCCATTAAAAAAAAGCTTAGGAAATGAACCCATCCTAAAGCACACACACACGAAAAAAAAAAGCGTTTGTGCGGTGAGGCGCAGAGCCGGCGGGTAAGTGCAGATGAGCGCCCGAGCCGGGCAAGTTGTCGTTCACAGCGCACGTACACAATGCGCACGGCCGCTTCCCCCCTTTCTCCGTTTCCCGTTCTTTCGAACAGAGAGAGCACTTTAGGTGGCGGCGGCGCTCCATTCCGGGTCATTTTCGAGGGAAATGAATTAAAGCTTAGCCAGCCCCCCGTGGGCAGCTGCAGGTTGGGTCTAAGTGAGAACGACCTCTTCAGGAGGGCACCCCCGGTACAGTGGTCGCAAGCTGGAACTTAAGAGAGTCACGTTCAACGACGCCTAAAGGTTGGTTCACACACTTGCCTGAGTCAGACCAAATGCGACTTCAACGGTTTGCGACGTACGGGTTGCTATGGCAACAGCTTCATCGGCTCCAAGCTGTTGCCACTGCAACTCATTGCAGTTGTTCTCAGTCAGAATAGAAACGAGTGTGTGAATCGCCCGCACTTGTTTATGAGCAATATTCCTTCGGAAAACGATATCCGTATAAAGAAACCAATTAATGCAGTGCATTGAAACCTTTCACAAATATGTCTTCAGACGATGCATTTATCATATTCCGTTTTCAAAGTGTGGGCTTCAAGAAGAAAAAAAGCTTACACAAAAACAAAAGCATTTTTTTTCTTATGTACAGGGAAGAAAACGGAAACAAGCTGTCTGGCTGGCGCTGCTAATCACAGATGGTATACCACACACACTCGGATCTGCTGTGTCTGCTTTCGCGTGGTCATCTCGAAGAATCTATCGCCATTTTGCTTTATGTTACGCCATAGCCTCCTTAATTCTAAAAAGCCTGTCAAATCGTGAAAGAATGCGGCAGCTGTAAAGGGGAAAGGAAATCAGGGAAGAAAGTCAGCACCGGAAGCCTGTCACGCAGAGCCAAGCAAGGCCCCAGCGGTAAAATCAGGAAACACGGACGCGCTCTTTTTTGTTTTGTTTGATTCGAGAAAAGAAAACCTTGTTCTCCTTTTCCGAAACCGCCACGCCGTAACCGTGTCGCAGATGTACCGTAAACGAAACACGGCGTAAGCAACTGTCGCCGTCACTATATTTCTTGCGGCGGGGCGGCTATGCTAAAACTCGTCGCCCTCTGGAAACCATCTTTCTCCTGAACTGCTCATAGGAGCCGTTGACAACTCGATCCACCCGCACCACCGATAGTTCACCATAAAATAAAACCAAACGAAGTAGAAAAACAAAAAGCTAGGTCGGGTCCTTTTACTACGATATTTTCTACCCACCCAACTGAAAAAAAAAAAGAAAGGAAAAAAAAATTTCCGGGGCAATGGCTATGCCAGCCTGAGCGTTTTCTTTGTCGAAACCCGGAAGCAACTTCAATCAAAACTCAAATTCAACCCATAAAAAGAAAACAAAATAGAGAAAACAAATTTTCGTTACAGAATAGTTACTTGTCAAACAAATTTAGTTACTTGCCAAACAAATTTGAGGGCAAAAAAACAAAAAAACAAAAAAAAAACAGAAAGAGGGGTGAGGGAGGGCATCCTTCCTGAGTTTTCCTCTGAGAAAAACAATTTGGAATCCACTTCCTAGAATTGGGCTCGTAGGTGCCAAGAGTTTCCTTCTATAGTTTTCAGTCTTCTCAAGCGCCTCCCAACGCGCGTCTCGTACGAACCTCAATAACGCCAGCCCCGATTTCATCAGTGGCGAGGGGCGAGCGAAAACACGGAACAAGATAAAAACGCGTCGCACCGCCTTTCATCCGATCAGCATACACCCAGTTATGGTGGCGAAATGAGATCGGAACAAACGGCGGTAAATCGGGTCTCAGCCGTCCCACAGCAGAGAGACCTCCGAATAAAGGTGCGCCCATGGAACGGAGCCAGGCCACAATTTACGAGAGTCTGTCGTTTTCCGTCTGGGAATTCCAATTTCGGCTAGCCGCTTCGACGTATAAGGCACTCTGAACAACAAGATCGAAAATGCTGGAGTGGTGCCCTCAAAGGGGGAGACCGGAGAGAAATCAACTTCCTATACAGTCGTAATTCCCGAGAAGATGGCAACAAAGATTCCGGCTAGCTTCCAGGACCTTCAGAGAAAATCGTTCAATCTAGCACGTGTTGGAGAAGACTACGTATTTTTTTTATTCCATTTATAAAGAATTTACTGGATGCAACTTGATAAAACGCGCAAATGCGAATTCCAAACAATCTTTTTTCAGTTTTTATTTTTTTTTGTATTGACGGTTTTGGTTTTATATACGTTGAAGTACTTACATTGTCGAAGTGTTCACTCCAGTTTGATTTGGTGATAACAAACTTGACTGAAGGGTCAATATCTTCCATGAGGTCGCTACGGGAGAAAAATGTACGAAGTTATTGATACATACACTACCTGTCTGGATCACAAGACGTAAATAAACATTTCTCTGCTCAGGTAGAAAATGAAAAAAAAAAAAAAGCGTATTCGTCACAAATCTTTAAGAAAGGAGCGTTGAATCAGAATGACACGCAGTAAAGAAGGTATCAATCTAAAGGACGTTGTCACGGAAAGATTAAAATTAAGAAACAATGAGGAACATTCCTCTCAAAAAATGAAGCACACGGGGCGATGAAAGTCACACAGTGGCTATAACGAGCAAACAGAAATGGAAGTTATTAGCTAGGGACTTGGGTGTCAGGGACATGTATTGATTACGCAGCTTGCGAATTACACGAAGAGTGTCTAAATAACAACACCATCTGGAGAGCAACTGGGATTCCGTGTTTGCGAAAAAAAATCCAACAACAAAGCGATAATCACATTTTGTTAGGTGTGGACAACGCTGCACCTTATGCCAAATATTGTTTTTTTTTTTTTTTTTTACAGCATAAGTTCGTTTTGTTTGTTTTAGTATGAATTTAGTATTGGCAAGACACTCTCTAGCTCAATAATGTAAAAACTGACGACTACCACCGCCCACGTCCCATATTTTAGCAAGCCAAGGCGGTAACTTTTCGGAGATCGGCAAAAAGGCTCGTTTGCAGACAAGCGTTTTTGTCTGTAAAAATCGGAGATGAGGCAAAAAGCAAGCTGTTTGTAGCTACCGCGAAGTATCACGCGGCTTTCCCAATACGCATCTACTGTCCCGTAAAAGGTGTCTGCAAGACGTCAAGGAGGTGTGCACTAAGATACATACACCTCCTTGAATACATAATGAGGCAAAAATTAAAGTGCATAAGGACCGAAGATTACGGCGCAAACGAGCTGGTGGTAGTTGAACATAATAAAACCACTCCGGGACAGAAGAAAAAAAAAAGGACGGACAAACAGTTTTTGAGACCGGCGTTGGCCCGTCCTTTCTTTTTCCCAGTCTCGGGGCGTTTTTACTAACCATGACGTTGAACTTCCGATTTCTATCAACAAATTCAAAATTTTCAAACAAAAGCTCCTTTTTTTTTTTTTTTTGGGGGGGGGGGGGGGGGGCGATCCATATTTTGTTTTAAATTTTACATCGCTTTCAACGGACTAATGTCGGCACTTTTTGGCGCTTTCTTGTGCGCGCTACATTCCCTGGTTTACGGGAGAGAGAGAGAGAGAGGGGGGGGTAGATTGGGGATTGCGCGAACTTTTTTCGAACCGAAGTTTCGATGATCGAATCAAGCGGTGCGAAAGGTTCGAAAGATTTCGAATTGCCAAACTTTCTACATCCGAAACTTCGACTGAAGTCGAATTTTCGTACTTCGAACTTATTACGCCGCAAAATTCGATGAGTGTCGACCTTGCGAACGTGATAGACTAAAAAATGCGATGATTATCGAACTTTCTAACTTCCTACGTTAATGAATTCGATAACTTTTGAAACTTCCGAACTTATTTATTTAAAGAATCGAAAATTTTTCGACCTTTCGATTCTTGAAAAGTCAAAAGTTCGACGAACTTCGAAAGATCGGCGGGCGGTTTCATTTGAATTCAAACAGTGAAATACATCCGTAATTCCCTTTTTTTTTTTTGGGGGGGGGGGGGGGGGGGGGGGGTTTACATGCGGTGTTGCATTCCTTGCGGAAGACAATGCCGTTTATTTCAATGTTCTGGCTTGATTAGTTTTAAAGAAATAAATTCCCGAAGGAGCGAAGAAGGACGACGGGTTTTGGCGATTCTCGTTTGTGCCATATTTGAACCGCGCATAGTCGAAGCTATTTATGGTAGACATGTTAAACTTTTTAAGAATGATCTATGTATAGACTAGGTAAGTGTGGTCTTAAGATATGATTATTGTTATTCAAGATGAGCTTCGAAGAAATATCCAAACATGTATCAACGGGCAATTATGCCCTAAACTTGGTCATTTTTTTCGTCTAAATTGTTTGAGGCATCGCATTTAAATTAACACCACACACAGTACATATCATTGCCATCTGCAGAATACAAAATAATGTATTTATTATTTTTCACATTAAGGAATAAATTAAATCATGGGGGAAGATTTGTGATATTGTTCAAGTTCAGCACGTCAATAAAAAAAAAAGGCTTTTTGATTTTCTTTTTTTACGTTCCTGGGAAGTGTTTCTTTTAGCCTGTACACATTTTATTAGGAGAAACTTGTTTCGAAGTTCTGAGCCTCTGAATATGCAAGAGTACAACATTCGAGCAAATTCTTGATAGTTTTTTTTTTTTGTTTTCTTTTTTTTTTTTTTTTTTTTGTTAAGCTTTTCATTTCAGCATTTATTGTTCAGTTTAATTTTTCCACCAAAGGCACTGTTATTTAGGTCAAAAAGACAGATTTGAACTTCCGAACAACTAAGCATGTGACGGGTAGTGCCTTCTGACAGCGAATTTTCAGCAATGACCATCTACGCGATCTTTATAATGCTGTGAAGACCGACAGTAGCTATACATATAATAAATAATTTCAGATTAGAAGCAGCTCGACCACACCCTCTTTCTCCGTATTGTTTTCTTTGACAGTCCGAAATATCTGCCCCCCTCCCTCTCCTCTCCTGCCCTCCCCTTCCCCTTCCTTCTCCCCCTCCCCCTCCCTCCCTCCCTCCCTCCCTCCCTCCCTCCCTCCCTCCCTCCCTCCCCCAATTCCACCCTGCTTTTTTTCTCCCGACGCCACTGGTATGGTACAACGCTCCTCGACCTCGAGTTGTGTCGGCTTCTGTGCTTTTTGCTCGGCGTTTCCTCCGTCCGGGAAAATAAACCTCCAGAGCAATTACAAACTAAACTTACTATATGCCAGCGTCACTCAGGCGGCGTTCGATCGGATTACTACCAGCGTGCAAGGGAGTGGGGAAGTAGTTCGCCAGATCGCTTCAAGGTTTTTCTGAGCCTCAACCTCCTTCCCACCCCTGGCCGTTTCGAACTGGATGAGTATCGTTAAACAGTGCGTTCGTGTGATCACTCCTGCGTGATGGACGTTAAAGATCCCCCCGGGCTGGCGGTCCCAATTACTGATGTATGGTCACACGTTACTCTGCACTGGCAGATATTCCAGCACATCCGGGACACTCGTCGTCTCATTTAGTTGCCTGACCAACCTCGCGCGGTCTATATATCACCCGTACTTTTTTAAACCTGATTTCGTGAAAACCAGTGAGGCGTGAAAACGTCATTTGAAACTGAAACAGTGGAGGAACATGAAAACCGCACTTCGAACTTTGTGAACTTGGACTTAAAAGAAATTCGAAATCTTCGAAGTTTTTTTCTTTCGAATTAAGCCCTAAAAGAGAACAGAAACCTCCGAAATGTTCGAACTTAATGTAGAAAGAAATTCGAAATCTTCAAATTTTTCGACCTTTATGACAATAGAATTTTGAAACGTTCGAATTTTTCAAATTTCAGATTTAAAGAAATTCAAAATTTTTGAATTTTTCAATCTTCAGGCCACAAGAAATTCAAAATTTTCGATTCTCTCGAATTTCAAGTTAGGAAAGTTCGAAATCTTCAATATCCTCGAAGCTCAAGTAAAGATATATTCGAAATATTCGAACCCGAACTTTTAGAAACCGTGAAAGCTTCGAATTTTCGAATTCAAAACTCCACGGTGTTCAAAAGTTGCGACCTTTCGGAATTCGAACCTCGGTACAGTTCGAAAATATCGCATTTCTTTCGATTTCGAACATCTTCAGTTAGAAAATATCGAAATTTTCGAATTCCAACCTAGGTTGGTTAGCAACCTCGCTAGTTTAGATAAACACGCTTCAATGATTCACGCGCTAGTCCTTAGCCGGTTCACAGATTTGCTTACGCACATCGGGCAAGCAAATCTGGGAGCTGACTAAAGCCTAACGCGTGAATCACTGAGGAGTGTTCCCCTAAGCCTTGCTCCCCGTCTCTCCCCCATTAGCAGGCGATGTGACGTCCATGAAAACGCACCAATCGGAGTGCCGAAATGGGCCCGTTGACTGCCTTCACAAGCTGTTCCGAATATATGCCTCCCGCTGCTAGGTAAAGGCCCTGTCACACTCAGGCAACACGACGGCAACAGCAACACAATACGTTGTCCAACAGTCGGGTAACTTGTTGCCCGCTCCCCGTGTTGTCCGGCAAGCCTGTCACATTGCGGAAACAGCAGCACAACATGGACAACAACGAAAATGTTGCCTCAGTATGACAGCTTTCGGCAACAGAAACAGCAGGAACTTGTGTTGGACAACGTGCGTTGCCCTGATTACTGGCTGAGCGAATTTCCGGCCGGCAACACGACAACACAGATAGCTTCAATGGCAGAGCTAGTTCCCTATCAATAACGTCTTACTCAAATAAAGGCTTGGAAAACGTCATTTAACAATAATTAGGGCTGGCGTGCAGTACTGCGTAATTGCGGAAAGCGATTGTCGAAATGGTAACAGTTACGGTCCTAGTGCTTAATTTAGAACCGCCGAGAAACCAGCCCACATTATTGCTAGGGAAATAAAATGGCACGCCTACTCACCCGCTGATAAAGTATAATAAAAATAATATAGAAAAGCAAAGATAAAAAATCTAAGCATTAAAACGACTACTCTGATCATGATTGTTGATGCTTGGAACTTGGAAACAGCCGCTACCAGACACCTGATTTGTTTAAAAAATACCCAGGACGTTTTTTGTTTTCTTGGTAATGAAGCGATCACGTAGCAGGCGGTAGGCAAAAACACAGCGTTGAAAACTATCTATTCCACCGATTGTTATGAAGACCCATCGTGTCGGTGTCGCAGTTTTGAAGCAACAAGAGACGCTTTGGGGTGCTGCCGGTGCTAGCTCAAATTTACAGTAGAAATATGAATTGCATAAAAGAAAGAGGCCGGAGAGAATAACTTCATACGCTGGCGTAAATCTCGAACATATATCAGCGATCTAAATTTCCTCGGTTAGAAGAGCTATCTGCTTTGTCAGGGAATGATCGAAGAACATTTCGATAAAATAAAAGGTGGAAAATACTCCCTGTGTCAAGTTTTCTAATCACACTTACAGGTTGATGTCGTCCCGTGGTAATTTCCGGCCCGTCAAACGCACTAGCACTTTGTAGAGTCACATTTACAGCGACGGCGCGCCCCATACGAACGAAGGTAAACAATCAAGATGGCAGAGTGTTCCCCGTGATGTCCCCACCGCGACCGAGGTGGGAGAGGGTGGTCGGACAAAAAATCAGCCAACAAGGTTGCCGGGCGGTCGCAACATGTTGCCCGACTGTTGTTGTTGCCGCGATGTGACAGGGTCGCCGGCAACACGATTTCCTCGTGTTGCCGGATAGAGTTGTCGAACTGTTGCCTCAGTGTGAAAGGGCCTTGAAGGGTCACTGACAGGGTGTTTCTGCTCGCCAACGTTTTTGTTTGTACATGGCATATGAGAGCCCAGCTACCCAGGAAACAATTCACGGCTCAAAATTCGTTTTCTTTCGGCCCTAAAAGTGCCGATGGAGGACTGGCTGGTTTGAGTCGCGTTCACTTTCTTCTCCGTGGTCACGTGCCGTTTTCTATGGTTTAGACAGAACCACCAAATATAATCAAAGTATATGTTCTGTGACTTCTAAAAAAACTGCCAATACGATGATTGAAAAAAGCAAAAAAGAAAAACCTTGCACAGGTAAGTGATTTTCGCCAGCTCCCTCCACTATATTTTTTCGTTCTCCCCAGTTAGGTTTCGCATTCAGTTTCGAACAGTTCCGTTTTTTTTTTTGTTTTTTTTTTGTACTTTGTTAAAACATATGTCACGCTGTAGCGAAATATTGATTGGGTAGTCTTCTGACACCATAATAACTAGCCTGGAAAATGAAAAAAAAAATATTTGGGGGGTTTCTGACTTTTACGTTTGCTCCCGGAAGAGATCGGCCGTCTTGCCCTCGTCGATTTGGGACACTTGGGCTCCCGGTGGATTGAGCGCTCTGTCACTGGTTCAGGCAACTGCTACACAAAACACCCAGTGGAATTTTCCTATGAGCCAACGGGTGTCCCTCCTGAAGGGAGGCACATGGTCTCCACGTCGTGCACGTATTCATTAACGCAGCTCGATCAATATTGCTGCAAACAGTCTTAATATCCCGGGCAGCACTTAGTATTACGCCAATATTCGCGTCGGATCGGAGAAATCGGGCCAATATTATTCTGATACTGCCGATATTGGCGCTGGATCGTAAAGACCGGGCGGCCAATATTACCGTGATGTGGCCGATGTCGGCGGGACATCATTTGGGTCAACCAACGCCACGCTGATATACAGTATCCAGCGCCATCTTCCGGAAAGTTGTCGGGTTTGAACCGGCTATATCGGCCGGTATTAGGAATTCCTGACCGTTTCTAAAACGATACTGAATCGCAGCCAATCGCGGCGGCCACCACTGTTGCCACGGGCCGCGCCGGGCAATCAGCGACTGGAACGGGGCTTTTCCGCACAAACAAACGGAAAAAAACTTTTTTTGTAGTAACTTTTATTGGAGATTAGTAGGGGGGGGGGGGAGGGGGGGGCGTGATGTTTTCTAAATTCTCTAGTTTACAAGGTTTGCGGCACAATTAATATTGTTTTTATACAACCATGTCTCAGTGGTGATTTTAGGTAGCGCGTCCCGACCTAGGCGCATCCTAACTTTGGCAGTAATTCGCGGCGCGTCCGCTCGGGAGTCGGGGGTGGTACCCTTGAAGCCCCTTCCACCGAATCGGTTTCGGAGGCAAAATTGCCGATTAAAGTCAAAATAGAAGTCACGTGCAGTTTCTCGAGTGGCCGGTGCGGGTGAAATGCCGGCGTTGCGATCGCTATCAGCTCGATTCTCGAAAACGGATCGATGCCACTTTTTCAGGGCAGGCTCTGTGGCAGTTTCCCAACTGATCGGTTAATTCTATAGCAACGTTGGCTTGGCCCAAGTCCGCTGACATCGCAGCGGCCACGGCCATGTTAACCAATATTCGCCCATCTCTGCCCAGAACTCGAATGATATCGCCGATTCTGGTCCATTTTTAGAACGATCGTTAACCGACATTGGCCCAATGCTGGACCGTTGTGTAAAACACGAAACTGGGCCAACATTGTGCGCAATATTCCCCCAAAGCTGGCCCAGTGTCGTCGTGCTGCATGGGTATCGTGAAATAAGAACGCCCCGGAATGAGCCACGGCATGAACCACTCCTAGATGTAAAACAAATACTTAGTGGTGTATTTTCCGACGCAGCACTCAGGTGATATGCGTGCTGCGCCCTCTTTAGGTGACGTCGATAGTTCAGCCTTACGGACTTGTCGCCTCGGAGGTGTTGGCCAAAGGCCCCATTGACCGCCATGAAGAAAATGAGCTGGAGGAAGGAGGAGGGCCACGAAGCCCAGGGACTCACCCGTCGTGGCCCACGATGTACCTGGTGAGCATCCGTTTCTCGTCGTCGGGAAAGTCGCCGTAAAGCACGAACGTCTTTCCCTTAAAGAAGTCGGGCAGCTCCGGCAGGTTCAGCGATGACGTCACGTCGCCGAGGGCGCTTCCTCCGGCTTCTAATTGGGCAACGTCGGCATCACGTGACTGCGTCTTCCCACTTCCTCTGTCGTGGGCCACGGCTCCCTTCCTTTTCGCTCTGCGTGGTTAGCGAACCAAAACGAGTTGCCCTACAGACGTTTCGAAGGAACTTTCGTCGTCAGGCGGTCCTGATCCGGAAAACCACTAAGGTCTGCCTACGCGCGGTCAATGAAAAACTTTATATTCCTAGACAAAAAAAAAAAATGCAACAATGTAAGTTTTTTTTTTTTGTTTTTTTTTTTTGTTTTTTTCTAAGCTGCGTAGTAAGTGGTTTGGTGGTGGTTAGTAAAGAGCCCAAACCGCACCTTAGTAATGCAACATGTGGGCAATAGACTGTACCATGCTTCGATAACGCTAACTGCCCATTGACCTCGCAGTATCAACGCGTACAGCTCGCAAGTATAGAGCATGGCTTTGCGATCGATTAGACAAATGGCTCACGGAAATCCACGACCCAAACGTTGCGAGCCCAGCAGGAAAACACGGCCACTCGATTCGGGTTCCCACTCCGTGGGGAACGGCCAGCCGAGTGTCTTATTTTGACGGAACAAACGAGAGTTCTCAGACCGCCGCCGCACTGAGTGGTATTAAGCCAAGCGGTGAAGATTAGAGTGCCTCAGAGTTGCTGGGCTGGCGACCCTCCCAGTGTGGAGAACAACTCTGTCGTCTGCTAGACAGAGCTGATACCTTGCCTCCCAATGATATGCAGCCGTTTATGAGCCGTTTGCGCACTCATTGGGCATAACCACTTGTGAAATGACGCGGGGATAAGTTTAAGAACACGTAACGTCAAGCATTTCGTCAAGTATGCGCTTCTTTTCGGAGACACGACTGCTAATAATGCAATAACATTGTACAACTGACTACAGCGAGCATACTACTAATGTTTCGAATCCACTTTAAACGGTTTCACAAAAGACGGTTTCTCAACGTATCGCGCTGCGGTTTACAACAGAGGTGCGGCTACGTTATTCTAACTTGGAGTGGAAATATATATAAAAAAAATAACTTGCCTCGTTCAAGAAAAGAAAAAAACTGTTTGGGATTAAATATTATAGCAATTAGCAGACGATGCGCGTCGTCTGCAAAATGCTGCCGACAGATGCTGGAATCGTCGAGGGCGCGCCGTGAGAGCCTGTATTAAAAAGAGCTAACAACTGCTCGATCGGGGTCACATGGCTTATGGGCCGCATTTGCAATACGAGCTGCGAGGAAATGACGAAAGCGTCGACCGTCTGCGAACGTCTCCGCCTTTCTGCCTGCTTTTCTCCTTGCCACGCGAGTACGTAGCGCATGCGCACTTGCGATCAATTGTCGCGGGAGGCGTCCGCCATTAAATTGCAAACGCTTCATATGGTCTGAGATAAACCCTCTGTTCAATCTGGCCTCTCTGGCGCGCCGGCGACGAGCTTAGCAGACGACCTTGCACGAGTTTCGAGTAGACGCTTCCTTCACCGCCACGCGCGTCTAACGTACAATTGAAAAAAAAAGAGGGGATAATTGTAACGAAATTACTTAGTGCGAATACAGATATTTGAACCCTTCAAGGCCTCATTTCTTGTACGAAGGAGATCGGTCAGGACGCCGGGTCCTCTCGTGAGAGCCTCGTAGATTGAAGAGGAGGGGGAGGGGGGGGGGGGGGGGGGGGGTCCATCTAAAACCCAAGCGTTTGCAATTCAATGGCGGACGTCTCCCGCAGAGATTGGTCCAAAGTGCGCACGCGCTGCGTTGACAGGTGGCGAGGGGTAAAGCGGGCAAAAAGGCTGAGACATTTGCAGACGATGGGCGCCTTTGTCGCCTCTTCGCAGCTCGTATTGCAAACGCGGTCCACGAACCGCCCTGACCGGGACTCTATCCCCCGTTAGAGTAACTGTATACGCTCTGCTGAGCATATACAGTTACTCTATCCCCCGTGTCAACGCTGCGCCATCTGTCTGCAGAGTATACAGGTCGGCGACAACCGTTATCGCATCGTCACCTATATGTCGCCCTAGATTGCGATATACATGTTCTTTATTCCCCCTCTCTTTTAAACGAGGTAAGCTTATCTGTTAATAGAGAGTTTTAGTAATACGTATAGTGGCAAACGCAAACCCCCTACGTTAGCGTTAACGTTGCGTCGACGGAACGTTACGGAGCGCGTCGAATACACACTTTTAGTACAGCGGAAGAAGAACGCATACTTAAAGACTTGTAGCGCCATCTAGATGTGCTCCTGTAAATTGCTTCAAACAATCCAAGGCGGGTATTCGGTCAAGCCAATCCAAAGCCCCGATTCTCCTCGCTTTGTTATGGAAGTGCGTGTTTCCGTGTGCCTGTTGTGTACGTGTTTTGTCTTTTTTTTTTTTTTTTGTACCGACCGCACGGTAAACACCTTTTTGCGTTCGACGGCGTCGCCAACGTTCTCGGCTATCGAGACCCATCTTTATGGGTGCTCGAAAGGGTTCGTCGCGTTGACTTCTTTGAGGAGGTTGATGTCATCTTCAATGGTAAAGCGAACCCGTACAACGCGCGTAGCACTTCCGCTGGTTTGCCTCACCGCCGCCATTTTTCAAACTGGACTAGTCTCGCGCTCTCCCGTGCGCGACGAGAGCAACGAGACGGCACGCAGGGGACCACTACGTACGTTCGCAAAAATCGATAGCGAACGTACGTACGCAAGGCTTGCCGCAGTACGTACGTATGGCGCATGCGCAGTGTGGAGGACGCAACGTTAACGTATGGAGTCTGCGTTTGCTCCTATACGCATTACTAAAACTCTCTAATACTTTCCCTTCAAGCGTCCACAGCTTAGCCGCCCCGGTAGTAAATCGCAGCTCGCTACGAGGGTTCGAAGCATTACTTTTATAGTTCTGTAGAGCGTTCGAAACACTAGTATACACGATGTATACATATGCGACGTTTCATTGCACCACCGAGTCCAAGAGTCATCTACTTGGAATAATTCATCCGAGTACTCTCTAATTCGGAATTTTCTAGGCTGCAAGCGGATCCACCGCGGTTTCACGCATGCGAGGTCACCAGATCGCGGGAGGCAAGATGGTGGCCCGGATGAAAAGGCGGCACCTTTCCTCTCAAAGGATGTCGCCACCCCATAGCAAGGCGCAGCCAGGAAACGACTTTGAGGTTCACTGGCGGCCATAGCTGTGTGCGCAACTGATGAGAGCGTGCAGACAGCGAGCTTCCACCACAGAGCTATTACAATAAACGCTAGAGGCTCAGCTGGCGCTAGTGTCTACGGGACTTCGATCCGGTTGCAAAGTGAAGCAGACAGCAACCAGTTTTCTTCGCCAGTCTTCTTGTGTGTTCCTACGGGAAAACGTACGTGATATATTTCTTTCACCAGGAAATAATAGAAATCAGCGTAGTTTCTTTGCTCGTTACGGGTATTATCTAGCTTTATTCACATTATGAAAGTCTAATGGTGAATTCGGGTGGTCGCCTCTCTCCTCTGACCTCGATTCAGCAGAGCGCCCCCTCCTCGCCGCCAGAGCTACTCGGGATCCTTTTCAGCCGATCACAACTGCTGGCTTCAGAGCGCTCCGAGACTCTCACCGCTCATTCACACTGGAAGCGGATCCGCGTTCGCAAAGCGGTTGCGAACGCGGTTGTATAAAGATTCAGTGCAATTGCACGCGCACTCGATGACATCAAGTGCGCGTGCAATTGTACTGAATCCAACCCCAAGATTCTGGGACACGATCTACTTGCGCCCTCTCTTGGTAGGTGTGCAATATAGCTGAAAAACAGTCGAATCTAGCGACCCATATAAAATCACGCAAAGTTCCCCCGAAATTATTGAGATTATTGTGATTGGTAACTTCAGAAAAATTTTCACCACTTCGTCACTCTTTCTCTAGGTTCCCAGGAAATAAGAGTGATTCCCCCCATAGACTGCCATTGAAATCTCGCTTTATTTTTCACGTTCAGTGAGTTAATAAAACAACCCCTCAATATTTCAAAAAGTTCCCGCAGGTATATATTCTAGAAGATTTATGCTATCGAAATATTCAAGCAGTTTTTATGTATATTAATTATCCCAGGTTCCCAGCGAGATAATTAATTACACCTCTAGCTTCCGCCGCGTAAAGGCATCTTTCCAACAAGAAGAGGAGTGCTACGGGAAAGACTACTTTACACTCGTCAGCAAAGGCGCACTTTTTGGCGATGTGCGCCTTTGCTGGGAACCTACAGAAAATACCTCAGACGTCTGAAAAGTCTTAAAACATGTACCCTGGTAACTGTTCAATATGATTCCCGGGGAACTTTGCGAGATACGTCTTGGTTGCCGAGATACGTAGCGCTGAAGTAGGCTCCTTTGACAAGATCTCTCCCCGAAGCAGTGAACCGCGCATTTTTTGGCGAAGTGCGCCTCCGCTGGGAACCTACAAAGAACGCCTCAGACGTCTGGAAATTCTTAAAACATGTACCCTGGTAACTGTTCAATATGATTCCCGGGGAACTTTGCGAGATATGTCTTGGTTGCCGAGATACGTAGCGCTGAAGTAGGCTCCTTTGACAAGATCTCTCCCCGAAGCAGTGAACCGCCCATTTTTTGGCGAAGTGCGCCTCCGCTGGGAACCTACAGAGAACGCCACAGACGTCTGAAAATTCTTAAAACATGTACCCTGGTAACTGTTCAATATGATTCCCGGGGAACTTTGCGAGATACGTCTTGGTTGCCGAGATACGTAGCGCTGAGGTAGGCTCCTTTGACAAGATCTCTCCCCGAAGCAGTGAACCGCGCATTTTTTGGCGAAGTGCGCCTCCGCTGGGAACCTACAGAGAACGCCTCAGACGTCTGAAAATTCTTAAAACATGTACCCTGGTAACTGTTCAATATGATTCCCGGGGAACTTTGCGAGATACGTCTTGGTTGCTGAGGTAAGTGGCACTGAAGTTGCCTACGTTTATGGAAATGATCATACCGCTGCGTGTTTTGCCAAGGTACGGCTCAGCTGGGAACCTGTAGAAAAAATTGCAAAGTCTCGGTCATGGTGAGAAAGCTGAAGGGCACAGAATGTTCGTGCGCAAAGATTGGCGAAGATTGACATATGA